GGGACGAGAGCGGGCGGTGCCTGAAAAGGGCGCGCGGCGGCGGCGCCACGTGGCGCGCGGCGGGGGCGGCAGGTGCGGGGCGGCTCTGCGGGGCAGGGCGGGGGACGCCCCGGGAAGCGGCTCTGTCCTCATGTCCTTTGGCTTATTAATTGCCTTCCAAATCAGAAACCTGCTGCTGTTTCGGACCGCGTGAGTGAGTCTGAGTTAATTTGGCGTGCGGGGTATTCCAGGAGCTTGGTAGTTTGCTACCTCTCCATTTATGTTTGCACTAGCCTTAAAGTTACCGTTATTTTTCTTAATATCCCGTGTTTTATTCTGTAAAGTTCTGAAGAGTGATTTTGTAAAGTTTTGATTTTTTTTTTTTCCACGTGTTCTTTTCCTTCAATTTGGGCCAAAATGTACCCTTCATGTGCAGCTTGGAAGGAAGTTAGACGGAGAAGCAGGTTATAACCCCCGCCTAAGAGCTGAGGCAATGGGGCACGATTCACACCTTGTTCTCTGTGTATTTTAGATACAGTGCTAAGTATTTTATTTTCTTAAGTGTTATTATCTTGCCTTAATCCTCACAAGGCTTTTGGTTAGAGGCTGTTAGGGTGCTGCCTAGTAGAATAGAATGTATAGAATTTTATAGAATGATTTATTTATTTCATGGGTAGGTGAACAAAGGGGCGTGACTTAAGTTCTGAGTAGTTTAGTGATGCGCTTAATAACTTCATGGAAGCTTCTAGCAGTGTGACGAGTCTCCCATTTCTGTTCTGTGGTTGCACAAGTGTTTCTTCTCTCCTTTAAACCTGGGTTTCAGAAACTTCCTTTTATGTGCAACTACGGAAGTTAAGCAAGTGTAAAGCTTCTGATGTTAAAGAGTTCTTATGTTATTTTGTATCTCTTATGCCGTCCAGCAATCCCTCTATCCTGTTGCTGTATCACCCTAATCCTGTCAAGCTCTTCCAGGTGCGGAGCAGGGCCTGTGATAGCCCCTCCACCCGTGCCCAGGCAGCTCTGCTCTTGGTTATTGCCCCCTTTCCAGCCTGCCTGTTAACCTTGGGGTGCCTCTGTGCTCCCTTTGTAGTGCTCTGCATTGCTTATTTCTGTATCACGGAATAGCCCACCCTAGATAGTGTAAAGAATGAGCTTCCCCCTCTGCATTCCACATGCCTCTGGAGTGMTGCATAGCAAATAAATACTTTCATGCATTTAAAATCTCTGAACTGTTGTGTATTTTGATTTTACCCTTGCCCTTTAGTTACTGCTGTCGGTTGCCTTGTTACTGCTCTTTTCCTCTAGAGCAGCATTCCAGTTGTCTTCAATGAGATTTCCTATAGGAAGAAATGAAACTTGAGCATTGAGTGTTTTCCGGACTTGTGATGTTGCAGTCCCAGCGCCATGAGTGAGTTGCTTGTATAGATCTCGCTAGTCCCTGAGTAGTGGAATGAAGAACTGATGAGTGGGAGCCYTCAGGCAGGGGCACCTGGTGTGTGCTGGAGTCAAAAGCAACATTTCCCCGGTGACCCTGGGCTGGAGGTCCTGTTGTTGAGTCACAATGAACAGCACAATGTGAAGGAGCTTCCAGGGTGTCACAGCRCAGCAAGCGCAGCCTGCTCTGCAGAAGTAAAGCAGAGTGACACCCAGGTCAGTCTGTGCAGATCTAGTGAAAACACAGCGGTTAACAAACACTTGAGATAGTTTTATTTACAACAAAGTCTCATCCTTAAAGTTTAACTGAAAATCAGGAGAAATAGCCTGTTCCGTTTTCTGAACTCTGCTTATATGTGTGAATCCATGTACTAGAGGTRAATTTATGTAGGTATTTTCTTTGTTTCTTGAGAGCTCTCATGAGTTGTAGTGTAAACACTTCRGGAAAGGAGTAATTTTTCAGCAAAGAGCTTGCTGTAGTGACGTCTAATATCCTGCTAATGCTAATTGCAACTTAAATTTTTAAGTGGTGCTTTGTGAATGTAGCAGCATCTGCATTAGTTTAATTTCTAGAGTCATCTGAAATGCTTTAAAAGTAAATAATAATAATAAAAAAAAAAAAGCTGAAAGGAACTAAGAGGCTTCAGGTTAAATAAGTAATTAGTGAAGGAAGGGGGATGGGTTTGGAGGTATGTGGGACCTGGGCTTCTTGTTTTCCTTTCCTAGCTGGTAAATTCCCTGTTGATGCTGCMTGTGAGTCCTGGACTGGGACAACAGCTGTGCCAGACACTAGGTCAGGGAGCAGGTCGGGATGTAGGTGGGCTGTTCATTATGGAAGTGGTGTGGGGGTCACTGGGGAGCGTCAGCAGAGCTGTGCTCAGAGGAGCTGCTGGGAAAGCCACGTCAAGAGGAATGAGCAGGTCTCTGAGAATAGGTCATTTTATCTGCTTGTTTTCAGCACTAGCGTTCTGTCACCTCCTGGCTGTTTGCTTTGTGTTTACAGAAGTGTTGTGGCAATACTGTTATTTCTGGGGATTTTTTTCTTTGATTTAGCTTTTTAAGTAMAGTTATTTGCTGTTCATAGCTGTGAATAGAAAATCTCAGCCACTCACCTGGAAAAACAGAAAACAATCATAGGGTTTAACCTATCAATCACTGGTAAACAATGATAGCACTCGTGTAGGGTGTGATTTAYTCAGAAAAAAAGAACAAATAGTTGTGGATAGTGAATCATTAGCAAACTGCTGGAGGAGGCATAACTTGTTCTGAAGACCTTTAAGAGCAGGAAGTGGTAAAACTGATGAGTCGTATTTAGAAACACATCTATAGAAATAGTTTATTTCAGCTGTAGATTAAAACTGGAAAGAGTAGGAGGCCGCTTTTCAGCACGGGTGTCGGAATGGCCGAGACCCCAGTGCTTTAGCAGAGAGCGCGTGTGGCGCCTGTAGCCGGGCAGGGGCTTGGTTGGGCCCTGGCTCGGGGATCGGGTAACGGCACCGGTTTCCCGAGGGCTTGYGGGGAGGAAGCCTGAGGAGAACTGCCTCGTGACAGCGTGAGCTTGTGATGATACGAGCTGTCCGCGCTGTGGTTGGTGATGCCAACAGGCTGGTGCCTGCTAGAGAGAAGGGCATCCTGGATGCTGAAGAAAGCAATGTGAAGGCTGTGTGCTGGCACTGTGCAGCCTCCTGGCAGTATTGCAGCCCTGCTTCAGKGCTTGCAGCAAGGCCTGCATAAGCTGCACTGTGCTACTACCTGATGATACTGCATTCACGTGGAGTCCCAGTAGTTGCACTGGGCTTGCTTTCACTTCGGTGCTCTGAGGCCCTTGATGCGCTAACAAGCTGGCCCACTTACAGTGTTCAGACATGATTTGGGAGCAAGGAAGTATAATGAGCACTGGCAGAACATGTTGTGCTTTTTTTTAATACCCCACTTGGGCTGTGAAAATCAGTGTTCGGTTTACTAAAAGCAATTAAGCAGGAATTTCTGATCAAACATTTGAGATTTGAAGGAAAACAGGACTGTTGTCTTTGGGGAAATGGCTTGGTGACCAAATGGCTAGTAAAAAGATAATAAAACAGTGTATCAAGCCCATTTAAATTTCCTTCTTTTTTTCTCTGAGGATGCTACTCTTGTTTTATCTGTAGCTCATGATGTTACAAGTGTAAGCTGTGGAGCAGGAGGTTCTTGCATGCAGTTTAAAGCCTGTATGCACCATACAGTATATGAGTGAGCTGTAGTTGAGTTTATACAGAATTAATGGTATTCATGCGTTTATGGTGTCTAGTACACAATGAAGTGACTTTATTTTCACTGTATGTTACTTGGATGTTATGAGAAGACAACTTCACATACTCTACCTCCCCCAAAAATCTTATGGGAGAGAAATAAAAGGATCAAGAAGGCAGATGAAACTTTGAATAACTAGGCCAATAACAGAATAGCTGTGTCCATATTTTTACAGTTCTGTTCAAATGTAAAGGATGTAATAAAATTTTAATAAAGGGCACAGAAATGGATGTCAGCAATGTACAGAAAGATGGAACAGCCTCAGCGTGGAAAAACACGAACTAAACTCCTCGTGGA